GACGACGGGAGCGAGGAAGGCGTTGGGGGTGCGGACGCCGTGAAGAGGGGCGTCGACAGCTGCCCGGGCTCGACGAGGACGGTGCGGAGGTTCGGGTGGGAGCGGCGCAGCTCGGCGGTCAGGGAGGCGTGGAGGGCGGAGAGGCCGGCCTTGGCGGCGGCGTAGTCGGCGAGGCCGGCGGCGCCGAGGCGGCCGAGGACGGAGGAGACGGTGACGATGGTGGCGCCGTCGGGGGCGCGCAGCAGGCTGGGCAGGAAGGTCTTGAGGGTGTAGATGGGGGCCAGCAGGTTGACGGCGAGGCTGCGGTCGAGGGCGTCGAGGGACTGGTCGGCAAAGGGGCGGCCCGTGACGACGGCGGCGTTGTTGACGAGCACGGTGGGCGGGCCGAGGTCGCGCTCGATCTGGGCGGCGGCGGCGGCGAGCTGGGCCTTGTCGGACACGTCGCAGGGGTAGTGGGTGACGCCGCGGGCGGCGCCGTTCTCCATGGGCCGCGGGTCGAGCACGGCGACGGTGGCGCCGCGCATGCCGTATACCTCGGCGAGGAGGAGGCCCAGGCCCGAGGCGCCGCCCGTGATGACGATGACCTCGTCGGCGAGGTCGACGTGGCGCGGCGGGCCGTAGGCGACGCGCGTGTTGATGGCGGACAGAGTCCAGACGAGGGTGATGAGGCTCGCCCAGGCGATGGACACGAGCATGGGCAGCGCCGACCAGTCCATCATCTGGGCGCGGAAGCAGAGCGGGATGACCCAGGAGATGAAGGGGTGGAAGAAGGTCGTCTTGAGGACCTTGAGGATGAGGTCGATCGAGAGGGGGTCGAACCAGGAGTCATTATGGGGCATGGAGCGATCCATGGCTGCTGTCGTGGTTCGCTGTCGTGGTTCGCTGTCGTTGTCTCGCTGTCGACGAGTTCGTGATGGAGAACGGTAAGGTTGGAGGAGGGGTAGTCGGGTGAGGTGGCTTGGGCGTCGTGCCTGGGCGTCGTGCCTGGTCGTCGTGTATCGATGACAATGGAGAAAAAGACGAGGAGAGGCTGCCCGGCAGCAGAGGAAAGCGAGTGACAGGTGTCAATGGCGGCAGGCAATTAGCATTAGGGGAGGGGAGGAGGTTTGCGTCCAGCGTTGAAGGAGGGAAGTTGAGACGAAAGACAGGTCGGCGCTTCGGACATGTGATGGAGATGTTGGAGGGGCCACAGCTCCTACCAGCTCAACTTGGTGACGAAGGAAGGGAGCTTGGTATTAGATTAGGTAAGGTTCCTAGGTCGCTACCCGCTGAGCACCAGGGACCAGGGCGGGCTGGGGCCTTGGCTCAGGCATCTTGGCTCAGCGGCACAGGGGCCTCAGGGCTGTGAAACGCGGTCCCTGCACAAAGGGGTCAGGGGCCACAGGGGGTCAGGGGCCGGCCCCTGTTTGAACCCCTGCCCCCGCTCACTGGAGGGATGCTCAAGATGCTGTGTACTGACTGTTCATCTCGATGCAAGTCTGATGGTCGCCGCTGGTTGTGATAAGCCATAGGCTGCTGTTTCTTTCTCTTCTAATGACCTGTGCATCCGCTATACTTGTGGCACACTCTAGCGACTCACCCACTCGTCAGTGGAAGATGCATCGTGATCATGGTGGAGGCTCCGTCTCCTGGGCCGAAGCCCCCGAACAGTAGCCAAGTACGGCAGGAAGGACCGGCACTCAATAGATAGCGCCACTAGACATACCATTTCCGCAGGACCATCATTGCTTTGAGCAGGACGCGATTCAAGGGCAATCTTCTACCTTACCCCATATATAGAGCGTGACCTGATCAAGCCTCTGCCACAAACACAAAGTCATCCAGCCAAAGACTCGTCCAGCCACTCATGAAACAGAGAAGCCTCCGTCCGCCCCGGCCGCTCGGCATGCCCAACCCACACTACCCCGCATCGACAACGAACATACATAGTACACGGCAGTTGGGACACAAGCACTGATCCATGGCATCCGCCAAGCACCAAGACAGTAGGTACCTTAAACAACACAAAGTCCTACAAGACAAGAGAGCGCTCGCAAAGTAATCTCAACTCATGAACAGGCAATATTCCAATGCTGCGATGCCACACGCCAAGCAAGACATGGTGCTACGCTACGCCAGCCAGTCGCACACTTCGATGTGGTCGTATCAAGGGAGGGAACTGGGGGAAACTCTCATCGACATAAAAAACTGCCGAATGCCGCCACATTACCGAGCTCCAGCCAACCCTTTGTTTTTCGGCAAATAAACCTTTTGATAGCAGCAACCCACCATGATACGAGATGAAGATACATGGTCACGCCAGCTGAGGGAGTTACATGTACCCCACAGATCCATATCTTAGACTGATCATGCCCCAGCACTCCGGGGAGCCAGCATCCCCGCGTTGCTTGCTACACCTGGATACTCAACCCACGCCTCCACTGCACCTGATTACGCGAGGCGCAACCCCGGGATGAAGGCTTACCAGCAAGGCCGCCACGAGCCCGTGCTGAGCGAGAATATCCTTGACCCCGAGGCTATTTATTCAAGTGTCAGGGGGGGGGGGTTTGCTCGGGTAGACTAACGGTCACACGGGCAAGGCTCCGTCAACAGCCCCTCTGGTGATCTATTAGAAGCCAGATCCACCTCCTTTCTCCATCTCGGCATCATGGACCTCTTGACCTACAAACTTGACATACAAACACCTTCCGCGCCCATCACCTCCAGAGCTGCTTGACTGAACCCTCAAGCTCAATTGTGAACCGCCCGGTAGCTCCAGCACCTTTCTACAGCCACCAACGCCAACATGGGCTCCTATAGAGAGCCAGGTCTGCACATTTTGGGTCCTGAATGGCTGGAGGTGCGTCTCGTCCAAAGCTCACCTGAATGAATTGTCTTCGCCAACTTGATCTGTTGTGCTGATGGACTCAGATTGCCGAACATGCCACGCTCTCGTTTGGAAAGGGTACGCCCGAGGAATTACGGAACCAAGTAAAGTTGCCTTTTGAGCTGCCTCCACCCAGCGGATTGACCATCACCGACAAACCGGTGCCCGGATATGACGGTGGCACCAACCAGGTCCGCATCTACAAGCCGGAGGGGCCCTCGACCAACGGCGCCGTCCTGATATAGTGAGTTTTGTAGCTTTCCGGCCTCGAGAACTCTCATCTTGCTTACATGGTGTGTGCGCCTTGCCAGTGTTCATGGCGGCGGCTGGACTGTTGGAACCTTGGACACGGAGGACGCCTTCTGCCGCACCGTATGCACAGGCAACCAGATCGTCGTTGTGAGCATAGACTACAGGAAGTACGACGACAACTCAAAATGCTGCATGCGTGTGATGAAAGATGATTTGGTCGCTAACAAACACCTCTTAGGGCTCCAGAGCATCCTTTCCCCATCGGAATCGAGGACGTCTGGGCCGGAGTTCTCTGGGTAGGAAACATCCATCCTGTGTGCCAGCCTGGTCACAATTGACACCTCACAGGTTCAGAACAACCTAGAGTCCCTCGGGGGGAAGCCAGACAACATCATCATGGGAGGCCTGAGTGCCGGGGGCAACATGGTCAGTCAACATGCAGCCCCAATTCCGGTGGAAAGACCCAAAAGAGGCTGATGCATCCCTAACCCCCCTCCAGACAGCAGCACTCGTTCAACGTGCCAGGTCCACAGGTCTCGTCTCCATCCGTGGGCACATCCTGCGCGAACCCATCGTGGTCCACCCGGCGGTCCAGCCCGCGGGCGTCGACTTCTCGAGCTACGTCGACTCCAAGGACGCCCCGATCCTTCCGACTATCGGGGTGCACCGCTGCCTCGAGTGGTACAAGCCCGTGCCCGACGATCTGCGCATGTCACCCCTCCTGGCCGAGGACTTCTCGGGTCTGCCGCCGGCATACGTGCAGATTGCCGGGGTTGACCCCCTGCGGAGCGATGCCTTCGCCTACATCGACAAGCTCCAAGCAGCTGGGTATTGTTGAACCACACCCCCCGTGTGCTCTTTCTGTCCTGGCCGATCAGCGCTGACCACTTTTCTTGCCGCTCAGGGTTCCGGTGCGCGTCAGCGTGTATCCTGGATTACCGCATGCATTCCAGATGGTGCCGCTGAAGTCGAGCCAACAGAGTGACCAGGAGCTTATCCATGCTGTGAAGTGGCTCATTGGAAGTGAACGAGACGAGGACACAAGCAATGGCGGACCCGACCGTCTTGCTGGGCGGGAACCCTAAGCTTACCGCCAGCACATGGTCAACAAGTGGCGTGGATGTGCAATCACCGTCGGTTGTGGTTGTTCCGGGTGAACAACACTCGAGGACGGTCGAACTCGCAGATGGGATGTTTGGTAAGGCCGTTGCAGTCAGCAGCACGAGACAGACGTGATGAAGATTGATTTGTCATATTGCCCCGAGATCTACATGCTGAGTCCTCCCGGTGTCCGAATCGGATGATTGTCGTGATCACCAGGCTGACGCTCCCGTCTTCGCCCCCAAGGGACCATGAAAATGCCCGCCGAAAGGAGTAGCAGCCACATGGTGCACTGGGTCCGTACGGCCGTTGGGCTACCACCCTGCAAGCAGCCCATGCGAAATGACAAGAACAGAGATGGGGGCTGTCCCGACAGTGGCAAAAATAGCAAATCTTGGCTCGTGGCGTGCTGCCAGCTGAATCCTGCGGGACGGCGCGAAGGATCATGTTCCCAGCCTCATCTCATGCGGGTCTGCCTGCAGCTATTAGCGATGTCCTCCCCGCCCATTTTCAGAATGTTCTTCTTCGAGATGGCTCGTTTGCAGTGAAGTCTCTCTGGGCACGCTCGGCAACCATGTTCCGCTCGTCGAGCATGTTTCGGTCCCGACCTCAGCACGATGTCAAAAGGATCGTGGTGTGTCAACGCTGATGGCAAAGAAGGTAACGGTCGGCACCCAAAACGCCCGCGTGAGTGAAAGCAGCGAATCTGATCATGCGACAACGTAGGAAAGGGAACGGGAAACCTGAGCAACACTTTCAGGATCTTTGCGTCTGTCAAGCAGGGTACTTTTGAGCAGGGCGGCAAAACAATCAAACAGGTACCGATGACTTTTGACCCGTCTCATAGCCATATCTCCTTTTCACACGGTTACAGGTTGCCAAGTACTTCAACGGCATAGGGACCAAGACGAACAGTTATGACAAGTACAACGATGCCATTACCGGGGACGGCTGCAAGGAGCTCATCCGCGATGTCTACCAGGTTCGTGCCAGCCAGCTGCCCGGGCGCCAGCTTCTTCTGCCTGCTTATTGACATGGTATTCTCCAGTACTGCTGCGCAGAGGTGACGAGTCCGGATGATGAGCTTTGGCTGTATGGCTTCAGCAGAGGCGCCTGTAAGATGCCTCTTTCATTCTCGTGACGCTGTCTGGCGTGGTGTCGCTGACTGAAACGCAAGACGTGGTGCGCGCTGTGTCGGCTCTCTTCCGAGACCTAGCCACGTTGCACAAGCAGACGACAGGACAGTTCAACCAGGACTATCGAGTCGCGTTAGGGTTCCTGAACGCGAAGCAGAAGAGACAGATGTCGAACAAGCAGGGAGAGGTATGGCTATGATCTGTCCCTTTGGCCAAGACGGCAGTGCTGACGAGAGCCTCTTTCTGCATCAGCTGTACAACTTTTTGTCAGTGAACAGATCTACATGCGCGATCATTGCCAGCGCAGACTGACTAATAGTGTTCTCAGCTTGGAAAAGACGCGAGAGGGTCCTGCCATTCAGTTCCTCGGCCTCTTCGACACGGTGAAAAAGGCCCAAGGAGATGTCGACTTTGACCTCTCCTACTCACGGTCCATCCGCCGAGTCCGCCACGCACTGGCGCTGAATGAAGAACGAAACACGCACCAACCCGAGCTGTACAAGACCGAATCAACACCGGGCTGGGACGCCGAGTCTGTCATCCAGGCATGGTTCGTTGGCTGGCACGTTGATATTGGCGGGGGAGCCAAGGACGACGGCCTGTCGCTGTATCCCCTGCAGTGGATGCTTCTCGAGAGCCAAAAGTTTGGCCTCGTCCTGGAGTACAAGCCGCCAAAGTACATTGCCGACAAGATTCCCGTCGAGCACCCGCCCTCTCTGGTGCTGCCGAGTATTGTGAGCGAGAGCGGTGCGGACCAGCCGTTTCCGAAGACGTGCCTGTTTTCTGGAGGACCCGTCCCCATTGAGACGAATGCAGACGCTGATCAAGAGGTTCGTCAGTGGGACTTTACCCTGGCGAGCGGTATCAAGGTCAACATGTTTGATTTGCGAGCCTCCCACCGCCACGGCAACCTTCAGAAAAGACAAGGAAAGAAGCTGAAAAAGAAGGGTCATGTGGAAAAGGCCACTCACGAAGTAAGGCTGAATCCACCGGACAAGTTTCTCACGGGCTACCAGCGGCGCCCGCGCTCAGTGTTCGACGCGCGGGGTGTGGCGGGTTACAACGAACATGGTATGCTCCCAACGGCCCCCATCGTCTTTATGGAAAAAGTCACGTTAATGGCGGGTAAATGCAGATCCCTACGGCACCATCATACATCCGTCAGTCTACTTTCTGAAGGACACATATCCTAGCCTGGGCATCAAAGACGCTCTGCAGAAGATGGAAGACAGACTGGAAGACTTTAGCAGCCAATTCCAGTCGCCCGAGCACAGCAATTTCTTTCCCTGGTTGCTGGAGCGTACGCTGAAGACTCGATATGAGCAAGTGCGCATCCTCATCTGCGGTCGATCCGGGGTGGGCAAGTCGACGTTGCTGAACCGCATATTCGGCATGAAAATGGTAAGCATGCAGTCTGCTTGGTCCGAAGCATAGGAGTTGACCCTTAATGTGACCAGACTGTAGAAAACGAGGACACGCGGGGAATCCATGACATGGAGCAAGGGTTTGAGTCAGATCAATACCCCGGTATTATCATTCACGATTCGGAAGGCTTCGAGGCGGGTGATATCAAGCGCGTTCAGGCTTTTGAGATGTTCCTGAAGAAACGGGGTTCGTCTGCCCCAGTGAAGGATCAGCTGCATGCTGTCTGGTAAGATCATGCCCCTGGGGTCACAAGAATGGCATGGATGTTGGTGGCAACATACTGAGCGACGCACTGACTCTTTGACTGAAAGGATTTGCAACGATATGGACACAAGCCGGCCCATCGAAGCCGCATTTGAACTCGTTCTTGGAATCATTGCCAAGTATGCCCCATCTCTGCCAGTCGTTCTCGTCGGTACCAAGAAGGACAAGTTCCTCAGGCAAGAGACCGAGCTGAGCAAGGAAGACATCCGAGCATTGGAAACAGGGCGAGCTCCTGAGCCACAACGCGAGCTGGACATTGCTCGTGACCTACAAAAACGACAAAGTTGGCAGAAGAGGCTGGCGATAGATTGTGCCGACGCCAACGACAAACTGGACATTAAGGTGACTTTCGTCTCGAGAGGTAAGAATACGAGACGCGAGCATGCAGCTGCTTGCTCCTCTCGCCGAAGGGAATTACTGGCCAGTAAATGGAGTGCTGACAAGCCGTCACAGATAACCGAGAGTCCATCATGGCTCTGATGCACTTGACCCTTGAGCCACTCAACTCCGAGAGCCTTCGTTCAGGTATGGTAGCAGCCCAAGTAGTCGATCTAGATCTCAAGATTGCGCTGGCAGTCGAAGAGACTGTTCGCTTGCTCCGCACGGCAGTCACGGCCTCTAACTTGGGGGCTCTGCTTGTGGTCGTGAACAGGATCTCGGCGCCCACGTATTCGCGGCTTCTTTGCAACGCCATCGTCCGATCGTTTGGCTTGACACGCACGACCACCAGCGGACTCACTCGCGAGGAGGAGGTCGACAACATCATGAGCACGGTTGTGTGGAGGAACCTCTCCTCCTTCATGGCACGGTCCTTCTTCGTAGCCATCGGCGATGTGTCGCTCTTAGTTGCGGCGCCGTTATTCGAGGCGCCAGTGACAGCTCGAATGGTCGTCAAATGTGCATGCGATCTCATCATCATCATGGATCGGGCCTTCCACACTGGCGGAAAGTTTGTCACGCGGCAGCAGATCCGACAGGCCTCGCGGGAGTACGTACAGCCTCTTGCAGAAAGCGAGTTGCGCGGCCTGCGCAACCGGACAGGCGTCAAGCCGGGTTCTTCGAGGAGACGGTTGGTCCATAAACGCGTCAACGCGCTGATACCGGTGATTTCGGCATTGGCGGTGAAGATATACAGGAAGCGTCAGATTGAGAGCCTGCAACGGGGCATTCGAGAGATTATTGATGATTATCGAATGCAGTCGGCAACAGACCACTATCTGGAAAGCGATGAATCTGTTGCGTCTAGCGACACATTGTCTGTGGGAACTGGCTCGCTGGATGAGACGCTGGACGTTGCTTCGGAGGATGATGAGGATTTGAAGGCGTTGTCGGACATGAGCATCAAGGGGGCAGGGGTGTGAGGCCGTCTTGTGGATGTTGCGTTGCAGCAACAATGAAGCTGTAGATAAGGTAGTAGCCATGAGCCATGCATCTTCACCCAGCGATGAGAGCAAAGCATCGAGTGGATCCGGGGCACGTGACCAGGCATCGATATGGTGTGGGGTACGGCCGGCGCGCTAGCCCCCCGGAGCCAAAAGTAAACAACGTAGCAGCCTCTCCCGCTTGTGCCTGGACCCGGACCCTGTCTGTACCTGTCACCCACATCGCGACTCCCAGCACGTTCCACACCAACACTATCTCAACACTGAGCATTGCTTGCATCACGCACCCATTCTTGAGCATTGCACATTACACGCGCTGCTGCATCGTTTTAGTCATTCGAATCACTCAACAAACAGCTACACAGTCAAACACACTCCCATTTTGCACCAGAGCCACCGAAAACAACACACGGCATCGCGCCTACCTCACCGCATGGTCGTCACCAAAATGGCCACGCCACGCGCCATGAGCAATGACGAGTTGCTCTCGTCGCCCGACCCCCTCAACGCCTCGCGCGACGGATCCTTCCTCCCATCCTCCCGTCGCGTCACACGAAGCGCATCCCAAGTCTCCCACCGCTACATGTCCCTCGGCGCCAGCAACTCCCCTCGCAAGCAGACCATCGCCGTCGAGATTGGCAGCGCCAAGACCCCACAACGCCTCTTGGTGACCCTCGAAACCGAAAACGACGACCAGAACCGCATAGCACGCACCCTCTTCCCGTCGTCCACGCCCGCGAGGAGGTCGCGCAGGAAGTCCACCGCTGCCACCACCAAATCTGTGCCGCTGCGCGATGAAGATGCGCCTGGCGCCATCACGCCCAAACGAAGGGGTCGCGGCAAGAGGAACTCGACCCCGATGAAGCAGACGCCTGGCCGGAGCAAGAGAGCGAAAATAACAGAGACGGACGACTCGGAATCCGACGCGACTTCGCGACCGGCCCCGGCCTCAGCGGCCGGCAGGAAGAAGACCTCTGCAACCCCCAAGAAGCGCGCTGCTACCCCGAAAAAGACCGCAACCTCGCAAAAGAAGACACAACAGAGACGTAGCGCGAGAATTATGGACCTCGAGGAGGAGAGCATGTCCGACGCCACCGTTCTGTCGGAGCTGTCAAACATAACAACACGACAATCCAAGAAGCGCAAGGCGCAGACGGCGCCTGACGAAGATACATCATCTTCAAAACAAAGCACAAAGCGGGCCACAGGCAAGGCGCGCCGCATGGCACTGATTCCCGAAGAAATCGAGAGAATCGCCGAACCCGTTTTAGACTCGGTTGAGAATGTCCATGCCGAGGAAAATACCAGGACCGAACCCATCGCTGAGGAGCCTGCTACAGAACCTGCAGCCTCACTCGTCTATGAACCGCAGACATCGGAAGACCCGTTGACTAGCGACGCTATCGTGGACAACACCGCAACAACACGCATTACTGCCGGAGCACCCACTGAAGAGGTCTCCACCGAGTCCTGGATCAGTGGACGCCGCTCATCAACACCGGTGGGAGACAATGGATGGGACGCTCAGCATTCCATTCAGCAAGAAGAGCCTGAGAGCAAGCCAGAAACTGAGAGCATTGATCAGAACGATGCGACGGCTCGTGTTGCCTCCAGTCAAGAACCCACACCGCAAGACCAGTCCATGATGCAAGTCGAATCGGGCATCCAGATCGAGCTTGAAGATGAGCAGCATGTGCAGCCCCAAGCTTCGGAACAACAGCATGAGCAACAGGAAGAAGAGAAAGAAGCTGCCCCGGAGCCCGACATGTGGCTTGCCATGTCCGACGCCGCTGGTGGGCCCCCCTCAGATTTTAGCGATGATGCGCCTCCTGACGACGGTCCCGATGACCACTCCGACATCAACGATGACGCTGCTGCAGAGACTGTCGCTGATCAATTCTCCGACGACGACGAAGCTGCAGCGCGGCCTGCACTTGACGACACGGTCGCGCAGGGAGAGGACTTTAGCATGATATTCGCTGCTTCCATCCCCTCCTTACGAGGCAGTCTAGGTGTTCGGCCCAATGAGACGATGGAATTCGGCGAAGAAACAAGCTTCATAATCAGCCAGACACTTGAGTCTTTCAGAAAGTCGAGGGCTGGAGAAGAGACTGCCGCTCAAAACGAAGGAAGCCCTGATCTGAGTTATGATCACAGTCGGGTCTTGCAAGAACAGCGCAACGGCCGCGATGACGATCATGACGAAGTCCGTCGCGATGACGTTCAGGATGTCGAATCTAACCAGGCTGATCAGGACGAGGCTCAAGGCGACAGTACCAATGTCGACGATCTCCCAGTTCTTCCAGTTTTGAGCCAGCAAGCCCCGACTACCTCTCAGGCACAGCTTGACCTCAATTCCGAATGGTCTGAGGCTCCTGACGAGGTTCTCGAGGCTGCCGTGCCGCGTGAGCACGAACAAGGCGGCGACGAGCGGTCTCCTATCAAACGCTACAGACCTGCCGCTCGCATCTCGTCGCCAGAGATGTCTGCTTTATACGAGGACCCATTCCTCGATATTGCCGAGAAACAGGCGGCTGCGCAAGCACCTAGCTCCCTTGCTCGTAGGCTGTTTTCATCTTCTAGAAAGCCCCAGTCTCAAGCAGCCGCATCGTCTCCAGCCGAGCCAACCCCGCGACCGCTGGCCCGTCAATCTCTTGCCCGCCAGGTGCTTTCTTCTGCGCAGAAGTCGATGGACGTTGACTCGTCGCCAGTGAGATCAGTAGCAGATGAGGATGAGTTCCCCGAGGTCCCAGACAATGTGCTTGCAGCCTTTACTCCGGCTAAGTCTCAGTATCTGTGGTCCAACAAACCCTCTGCTTCCGGATCCGCCGTCAAGTCACCCGCCACCAAGGCAACGTCGCTTGGAAACACCTTGGAGATGACTGACGCCGAGTCTGCTGCTTCTCCCTCTGGCTCAGTACGCGGCCGTTCAGCTTTGTCGCCCGCCAAGCGCCACCTTTCCCCTTCATTGGCTCGATCCAGCCCCCGACGCAAGCCGGTATCCCTGAGCAGACAGTTGTTTAACTCAAAGGTGCAGGAGGCGCGACATGCGGATATTGATCACAACGTGGATGCCATCCCTATTGATCTCAAGGGCAAGGCGACGCCCAACGTAGACCATGACGAGTCTGCTGCCTACAACGATTCCTGGTCCGAAATACCAGAAGACGTGCTGGACGCTGCGGTGCCTGAGTGGTATTTGGCTCAGCGTAAGGCTGAGGAGCGCGCCAAGAATACACATGATCTCGAGAAGGACACTCTCGACCAGGGAGCTCACGATGCTTCTCTCATGGATGAGGAAGATGACGAAGACGTTCAGAACGTGGGCTCAGTGGAAGACCGCGTCGGGGAGGACGACAACCTCAGCGAGAACGACATGCAGGAGGAGCTCTCCGAGGAGGAAGCGTTTGAAGAGGATGTCCAGGATGAGGATGAGGAAGAAGAGGCGCGTGACGACGCCCAGATGGACTACGTTGACAACGACAGTGCCCACGATGATATGGCTACCGAAGGCAACACAACCCAGAAGGACATCGCTGCTGCTTCGTCCCCCAGGAGCCGTGCTGCTTCTGTTGCTAGCACGCAAGGACGTCTGCCGACCCCCGAGCTTACATCTTCGCCCCTTGACAGCACCGTGATCTCTCATCACGACCGCCACGGAACGGCCCAAGAGCCTGCTGCAGAGCCTGCTGCCGGGGACACTTTACCCGAGCTCCCTGCAGCAACTTCGAAGGCGAGACCGACGCTCGATGTTCTTGTGACGGAACCCGAAGCCCAGCAAAAGTCGACACCCACGGCGCCAGAGCTCTCGTCTCAACGTACTTCTCAAGATGCCAACATGCTAGCTCCCCGCTCTGCTTCTGCTGAGCTGGGACATCGCCCGTCTCTGTCACCCATCGTAAGGGCTGGGCTTGCTTTGCAGAGCGTCACCTCCGAGGCTTCGTCGCCCATCTCCCGGCAGAACTCATTGGGCAGTCCTTTCAGGCCCGCGACGAACGCCACGCCTGGTCACACGGCTAGCCGCTCTATTGAGCGTCCACACTCCAACCATGTCGTTCCGAGTTCCTCGAAGCTTATCGCCACCGAGACTCCCAAGCAGCGGCCCACGACGTCGGCAGATCAGTCTGCGAGCCAGTCCGGCGCCAAGTTCACTGGTGCCAGAAAGGGATGGTTCCCGCCGCTGTCCAATATTCTCCAAGCTGGCGCCAAATTCTTCTCGCCTACAGCGGTAACCTCCGCGCGCGAGCAGGCGAGCCTCGAGTCCCCAGCGGCGAAACTGGTGGCGCGTGATCCCTCCCAATCACTCAACAGAATGAGTGATTCTTTTGCGTCGGGGCGAGAGCAAGAGGTCGTCGCATCTTCTGGTGACTCCGACTCTCTCCATGTTGCTCCCCCTCATGAGGAGGAGTCGAGCTGGATGGTCGACGAGCAGTCTCCTGCAGCGGCCCCCCGAGAAGAGACCGTCTTCCAGCACCAGGCTACCAGCCCGAGCCTGAGTGTTGCGTTTGGTTCCGTCGCTGGATACAGTTCGCATGCCCATGAACCAAGCGTCGTTGCGCCGACGCAGAATTCACCTCCCCATGCAACTGCCGCGGGCGAGGACGAAGACGAGGAGGACATTTGGGAGGTTGAGGCACAGCGAGATACTCCTAAGGGCTCTCGCCAACAACCCTTCGGTAAGCGGTCAAGTGTACGAGGTACTGGCTCCCTGCGTCAGAAACCATTTGGTACGAGTCCCCGCAAGAGGCACCATCCCTACGTCAAAGCCCGGCCCGTTGTGCCCAGTCCGTGGACGAAGGCCGGCAAAGAGAATGAGCCCCTGGGAGACGAAGTGACAGGCCTGACACCGGCCAAGGCACAGGCCGCCGAAGCAGCACGAAGCGTTCAGAAGAGCGCACAGTCCAGCCGCCAAAACAAAATGTTAAGCTTCTTCTCTTCTCCAGCCCTCCTGCCAGGTATGGAAAACGCTCAGGCCGCTCTCGAGCGCAAGAGGCGCGATCTCGCTGCCCAGGAAGAAGCTGCCAACCGTCCAGCCGAGAGCCTTATTCACGTACTACAGACGAGCAACACAATGTTTCCGACGGTTCCGTTCAAGAGCGCCAATCCGTTTGCCAACGCCAGAGCACCTGCGCCTAGCTCGCTGAGGAAGTCTGTTCTGGCGCCCAGCACACCAGACCGGTCGCAGGTCCAGTCCCGCGGCAAGTCAACGCAGAAGAGCCTTGGGGTGTCCAAGCTGTCGTTCGCGCCGACACAGTCCGCGACACCTGTTCGGACGCACCTTTCCCACGCCGACATAGAGAAGTGGCAGGAGGATTCTGCTCTGGAAGAGTCATCTTCTTCCCCCGATCATCGACTGAGGTTTCTCCGCACTCTGCCACCGAAGAACGCTTCGCCCAGCAAGTCCGCGATGCGATCGCCTCTGAAGGCCCACACTCCCGGTCCTGTGGTAGAATGGGATAGCGGCGTCGAGTCGCCGATGACTCAGGCGCAGAAGCGTTTCGAGAGAGAGCTTGAGCAGGCTGCTGTAGATGACTTTGCTCGTCGCCAATGGGAGGCCCAGCACAGTGCCACGAGGAAGAGTTTGAGCAGACAGCGCACAGTCAGCGAGGTCGCTACCCATGACGACGAAGTCAGCAACGAAGAAGTGAACGAAGAAGATGCTCGTCAGGAGCTTGTCGGCGACGATGACAATAATGTTGAAATGATCGACGCCCCAAGCGTCGAGACGGAGGAGGAACTCTCATCGAGCCCTCCTCGCACGCAGCTGGCATCCAACCAGCCCAGAGAATCCTCACAGCAAAGAGGACTCTCGATCGAGCTTGAGCTCCAGCTCCAACGCGAACGCATGGAGCAATACGCGCTGGAGCGACAGGAGGCACTGCGACGTCAAAAGGAGGAGATTGAGCTTGCAAACCAGCAGAGGCTCGAAGAAGAGAAGAGAGCCAAGGAGCTGAAAGAGATTGAGCGAGAGCGCTACCGCAAGCAGGCCGTGGCAGAGTGGGATCAGCCGCTTTCCAGGACCGTCTGGGGCGACACCCACTACCGCTACATGCATCGCCTCATCAAGATGCGGCGCAAGGGTCCATTCAACTATGTCTTCCCGGAGGACTTTGAGCGTCGCACGGGATGGCTCATGGGCCAGACCGTTCTCGCACATGACGAGACGCAGCAGAGGCTTGTGCTGAACGCCTGGCACCTCAACGTCATTGACGTGTTCATGAGCGAGGTCAAGGGGGTCTGGGACGAACTCGAGCTGGCCATCAGGCTCTTCTCCATCGTCGTCATGGAGCGACTGCGCGAGGAGTGGCACCTTCCCCTCGATGAGATACGGAAGGCCATGGTGGCCCAGCGCGCAGCGTTGGCGGCGCAGGCCGAGGCTGCTGCCAACGCACAGGAGGTTGCGGAGGATGATTACGAGGACGACGAGGAGTACTCGGGAGTCTAAGGGTGTGCGCATGACAGACGAGAAGAGGCACATCTGCTGCGTGAGCAGCTTTTCGCCAGTGTCGGTGTTTGGGGTCTTGAGTCTTTGTATTGCATACTATGGCGGCATAGCGTTGCATTTTTGTCTTTTTCACTTGCACGAGGAGAACGAGAGGTCATGTTTAGACGACGAAGGCCTTGGGTGGCTTTTTTCCCCCTTGTTTTGGGTTTCTCGAAGGCGTTTAGGAAAAGGGGGACGACGATTGGGAGTCGCCCTACAGCGCCGATTGGCATCACCACGACGTTTGAGAGCGCTTGGCGTTGAGCTATCATGTCGTTTTAGCATGTCCGAGTACAGAGGATGTTTCGCTCTCGAGAGCAGAGGGCAAGGGTCTGCGCAACCAGGAATGGACTTGGGGTGTCAGGGGCGTTTTGGTACCCGCCGTATGGGTTTTGGTGTTGGAGATACCCGTGTCAGGGAGTGTCGAAGTATAGGATTCACTGAATGAATGAGCGAGTACATTTTGATTGTTCGATGCCTATTGAGCCATGAAAAAGTGGTCAAAATGCTGCTCACATGTAGGCGCTGGGCGGTACGAGCACGGAATTCACATTCACACACATGATTCAGACCCGCGATGACGCCTCACTTCAGGCGGGGATACTCAGCAGATGACAGGCGATGGACATGGCATCGAATGATTCGCGTCCGGCGTCTTCACCAGCGGTATCTATGATGTTGTTACACTACAGCTCGCCACCCCCCCTCTCGCCGGGCCCTCTGCCGGCCTACTCCAGCTGCGAGGCCTGGTTCGTGTAGAGCACGTCGACCACACCGCCGAGCTTCTCGATGGTGGCCAGGGCGTGGTCGTACGACTCGTCGCGGTGCGTCTCGTCAAAGATGATGAGGCAGCCGGCGCCCTGGTCGAGCACGCCGATGATGACCTTGTCGAGGATCATCTGGGAGAGCTTGCGCTCGACCTGCTGGGTGTCGAGGCCGACCATGTTGGCAATGTGGTCAATCTCGACGCGGGAGAAGGGCTCGATGACCTTGATGAGGTTCTGCTCGAGCATGGCGTCGTAGAGGCGGCGCAGGTGGTTACGGATGAAGGCGTCGGAGCCGAGCTCGTAGCGGTACGCGGTCAGGGCGCGCTCGTACTCCTCGAGGGAGCGGTTCGAGTGGGCGCGCGCGATGGCCTTCATGGCCTCGAGGTTCTGGCCGGCGTACTTCTGGGCCTGCTTCGAGGCCATGAGGTTGTTGACGTCGTCGGCGAGGTTGAGCATGATCTTGCAGAGCAGCATGTACTGCAGGGCGGCGGTGGCCTTGACGGGCTCGTCCTGCGTGTGGTAGCCGTCGAGGGCCTCGATGAAGTAGGAGAAGGCCGTGTTGAAGTCCTTGTCCTCGGCGTGGAGCATGCCGCTCTGCATGTCGAGGTTGGCCTGCAGCAGGGGCGGCGTGTAGACCGAGGCGGCGCTCGTTCGGGCGCTCGTCAGGGCGGCGCGGGCTTTGGGGATGTTGCCGAGGGCGTGGTAGACGCGCGACTCGAGAAGCTGGACCTCGACGAGGACAAGCTTGTCGTCGAGACGCTTGAGCTCGCGCAGCAGGCCGTTGATGAGGGTGAGGGCGTCATAGTAGGACTGCTTGGCCATGAGGAGGGTGACGAGACGGGTCTCGAGGTTCTGGCGCAGGAAGCTCCGGCGCTCAGAGGTCGCCCACTCTATACATGACTTGGTGACGGCGATCTGGGTGTCGGTGGTGTTGGGAATGGCATCGAAAAGGTCAAGGAGCTGGCGGACTGGGGAGGTCACCATGTGAGTCGCCGGGGTCCATCAAGGGGGGGGTGGGGTGTTGAGGGAGGTCATCTCACCAAGTTTTGCCGTCTTTGCCTTGGCGAACGATGAGAGGGTCGTTCTGCTTGTCGTCACCAAATCCACGAGCGATTGCGCATTCCTGGTACGGTCAGTCAGTCCATCATGGCTGCTCATGCGCCAGCGTGGCATCAGCCGCAATGCAGCCCATGGTGAAGCTTACTTCTCATCCCGGTACAGCTCGCCCAAGCTTATCAACGCCGCTTCGTACTCCTTAATGGCGGCATCGGACGTCGCAGATGGCGGTTTCGACAGGATCTCTTGGTAGGCCTGCTCCGCTTCGCGAGGGTTCGATTTCGCCAGCTTTTGGGCTTCCTGCACCCTTGCCGAGTCGCCCTGAGCCATGGCTAAAGATGTGTCGGTGTGCGGTATGTGTGGGGTGTGTGTGTGTGCAGCAGAGTGTATATGTGTTGATGCGGGGGTTGTTGTTGTTGTCGGAGTTCGGAGGGATCGTAGAGGTTCGACCGTTCAGAGTGCAGCACAGGGTCGAGGGGGTTTGGTGGTGATGCAGCTGGGCTGCCTGAAGCTCCCACCTTTCGCGTCAGTTGCTTGGGGGGCTGTTACTAATCAGCAATAACGAGATATCCGGATATGTGGATAATGGGATCACGCATTGTGTGTCTCTACAGCCTTTAGATCCTTGTTTGTGGTGCACCGTAGCTGACTGTAGCCTGCCGTACTCCCTACAACGGCTTGAACGGGCCGTGATTGATCCAAGGCGCGCTCTGATTCGAGATTACGCTCCGATAAGCCCCACACCCCGCCAAACGCTCTGGAAATTTTTGGCGATAACCAAAGTAACGAGGCGAGGGTCCAGAAGATCGATCTTGAGAAATCATAATTGTTTGGTCAGTTGCACGCAACACGCAAAATCGATCTCCAGACGCAACCCCCGAGTCAACGAAGCTCCGGACTCCCTTCGATCATAGTCCCGTCGATATCAGTCCCGACACGAATTGTCTCCTGGGCTCTGGGTCATTTTCGCCATGAAGATCAAAGCTCTTAGTCGGTCGGTGTCCGAGTACAACCCGCCTGGAACAGAGGTCGTCAAGCAACCGCGTAACCTCGATCCTGGCGCCCATCCCTTCGAGCGTGCGAGAGAGTCAGTGACCCGAGGTGTGGCTAGTCCGACAATGTTCAAAGCTAACGGCGACCACCAGATATACGAAAGCTCTCAATGCAGTCAAACTCGAGCGCATGCACGCGGCGCCCTTCGTGGCCGAGCTCGGCCAGGGCCACGTCGACGGCGTCTATACAATGGCTAAGGACCCCAACAGTCTGCAACGGTTTGCGTCGGCGAGTGGCGACGGAGCTGTCAAGGTCTTTGACATGACGAGCCGGGACGAGGTCTGGCAGACGAAGAGCGCACACGAGAACATTGTCAGGAGCGTCTGCTGGACCAAGGATCAGCGCCTGCTGAGTGCGGCATCCGATAAGACCATCAAGCTTTGGGATCCCTACAACACGCCGAGCGAGTCTGCGCCCATCTCGTCGTGGCTCGGCAACAGCGGCTTTACGGGCTTGTCGATGCACCGGTCGCGCAACGTCTTTGCCGCTTCTTCGTCGTCGAGCTCGGTGGCCATCTATGACCTGGAACGCCACAATGCCGCGCCAGACGTGCTGGGCTGGCCCAACTCTGTGGACACGATCAATGCCGTGGCATTCAACCAGGTGGAGACGTCGGTGCTTGCGGCGTGCGGCCTCGACCGATCGATCGTCCTGTTCGACCTCAGGACCTCCATGCCTCTGACGAGGACAACGCTCAACTTTGCCTGTAACGCCATTTCGTGGAACCCCATGGAGGCCTTCAACTTTGCTGTGGGCAGCGAAGATCACAACATTTACGTGAGTCACCTGCTCGAACACTGGTGCCTAGTTCGACAGACTGCTAACAGGAGGGCCAGATTTTCGACATGCGCAAGTTCGACAGGGCGCTCAATGTGCTCAAGGACCACGTTGCCTCGGTCATGTCCGTCGAGTTCAGTCCCACGGGCCAGGAGCTCGTCTCGGGCTCGTACGATCGCACGATTCGCCTTTGGAACCGCGACCAAGGCCACTCGCGCGACATCTACCACACGAAGCGCATGCAGCGCGTGTTCAGCACCATGTTCACGCCCGATTCCAAGTACGTCCTCTCGGGCTCCGACGACGGCAACGTGCGTCTCTGGCGAACCAACGCTTCGGAGCGGTCGGGCGTCAAGTCGGCGCGCCACCGACAGGCCCTCGAGTACAATAATGCCCTCATCGAGCGCTTCAGCCACATGCCCGAGGTGCGCCGCATCAAGCGTCACAGGCACATCCCGACGGTCGTCAAAAAGGCGGGCGAGATCAAGGCGCAGGAGCTCAAGTCGATCAAGAGGAGGGAAGAGAACGAGAGGCGGCACACGAAGAAGCAGTTCCAGAAGAGGCGCAGCGAGCGCGAGAAGATGGTGCTGGCGCGGGAGAAGTAGGGTATGCGGCGGGCGGCGGCCACGTGCTCCTTGGATTGTCTTGGGTTTCGCAGGCGTTTTGGCATGGCATTGCTGGGCGTTTTAAATACCTTGTGCACATGGGGCGTTTTCGAGATGGCTAAATTGTATGTAGTTTTTCTTCCCAAATCGTGGTGCCTGGTCAGAGCTTGAACCCTGCAGAGAGTATCAATGAGAGTACAAACATGGTGTTCCCCGTGATCATTTCGGGTTCATGGGCAAGTCGTCAAGGTGCCTCGAAATTGGAACCGAACCCCTTCAGCAAAGATATGCGACAAGCATTGCAGCAAAACAAGATGTCCTCGACCAATCGATCGAGTTGCTATAGTGTGAAGGATTGAGCTGAAGAGGGGGGTTGACGTGGCGCAGGGGCTGACAGTCGTAGGAGCGACACTCATTGCCATTGCTCTGCTACAGCCTTGCCTGACGATCTGTTTCTCAACATCACAACAAGTCAGAAATCTTAAAACTGATGTTTATCCTGCTGGTTTGGCACCCGAATAATCTTGCCCTGCGGGTCATCTCTCTCGCCCATCTTGGCGTCGCCGTCGACAGTGAGGGGTAGGCCAAGTGGTGAGAACTCCTGGCGTCATCAAAGACTCGTTCACTAATATACGATGGGACAGCTTTGAGCAGCAAAAAATGGCGTATCACACCCGCCCGGGAAAGGGCTCTGGTCCTGTGTTTCTCCGTCCGTCGCCAGAGCCAAGCGGTAGTTCGTCGAACTCTGTCTGCCCCGTGTGCAAGAACTGGTCTCTTGAGCGATGGACGACGCCGTCACATGGCCGACGGGAGAGCCCCGGTGCTCCGATGAGAGTCGACTTCTTTCAGGTTGCCGAGTCGGCCTACGAGGAGCAGTGCCGGTTCTGCTACGTCATATACTATTCGCTGCTGGCCATGGGTTGCGATGTGCAAATTAGTGGCTACTCGGTCCTGTCTCTCCATGCAAAGCCGAAGGCCCCCTTCTACGTTCTCTGGGATGATGCTCGTGTCGGCCGCAGCGTCGTCGAAGTGTTCCGTGAAAAGGACTCAAAATGTCTGTTGAACATGCTCGGGTCAGCAACGCCCCTACGCGAGGATCTTCGCGATCCAAGACTCTACGACGAGATACGACAGCTTCGCAACGAGTGCGAGAAGAAGCACCCTGCGTGTTCACAGGTCACTGGTGAGCTGCCGCGGCGGCTGCTGCACATCGGGTCCGCAGCCCGTCCCGATGTTCGCGTGACAGCCAGCTTCCCAGAAGATGCGCGATACATTGCTCTGAGCCACTGCTGGGGTCCCGATGCGCCTTTCACGACCACATGGGTAACCCTCACGCAGCGCGAAGAAGGTATCGAGTGGAATGACCTACCTCGAACGTTTCAAGACGCCATCACCGTCGCTCGACAACTCGACGTCGAGTACATGTGGATCGACTCTCTTTGCATAATACAAGATGACGAGTGAGCGAACCCTCCCCCCCTCGCAGGGCGGTCGAACGTCATGGCAAGCCCCCCTTTGCTGACTCGCCTCTTCCCACGACAGAGACGACTGGGCCGTCGAGTCGCTGAAGATGGGCTTCATCTACGAGCGAGCCTACCTGACAGTAGCCGCAGCAACGGCAGCCAGCGACCGAGAAGGGTTCCTCGACGGCTCGCCCGGGCGCGAGCACTTTGCCGCGCGCACGATAGACATGGACCCCTTCGGCGGGCCGTCGGGCGTGCAAGCGCGGCGCGTCTTCGACGTGCGCGCCACGACGCTCCGGGACCCCTGCACACGCGCGCGTGGGACGTTCCAGGAGCGCATCATGCCGCGGCGCATCTTGACCTTCTTGTCGGCCGTTTTCTTC